AGAGAGCGTTGTCGCCTTTCCTAAAGAATAATACCACCGCACTTCTGCTCCACACCTCTGGAGTAGTGCCACCATGGAGGACGGAATTGAAGAGCTTCTGAAGGACTTCAAGTACCGGTGTTCCATCCGCTTTCAGAAGCTCCGCTGTAATTCCATCCTCGCCTGGTGCCCTGCCGTTTTAAGGTGCTGGAGAGCCATTCTAATCTCGCTCAGACTGACGTCCTACCGACCTACCGACGAATAGTGTCGGATAAGACTTGCTCTTGGATCGGTACTCTCACTTGCGCGTGGCTCCAACGATGATGTGTACAGCTGCCCATAGAACCTCTCAATCTCACTTAAAATCTCAGGTGTCCCGGAAACGATGCTGCCACACTCAGTCTTCAGCTTTGACAGTTGGCTCTTTCTGGCAGACAGATCTCTGGCAAAGACTTTGCAGCCCTGGTTCCGCTCGATCGCTTCTTTAATACGAGCAGTATTAAAGTTGCGTAAGTCTCGCCGCATGCATTTGGAGATCTGTCTGTTCAGTTGCCTGTATGCTGTCGAATCTGTTGACGATTGCAGCCTCATCTCCCGTCTAACTGCCATGAGATTAAGAGTGTGCTCGGAGATTTTTTGTGTTCTTCTGCGGCGGGTCTTGCAGAACTTAGCTCCGACTGCATGGACAGTTTCCATCCGATTTTCCGAGCTTGTCATTCATATCGTCCACTGCATTACAATCTTCTAGGCACTGAAAGTGATTACGTAACTCGACTTAAAGGTTTCGAGATTCTGGATTAGAGCACGAGTGGGACGGAGCGTTGGCTTCATTAGACGACACCTCTCCAACTTAACGTTTAGGTTCAATGTGCCTCTAACCATTCGGTTATCGCTGCCAGTTTTCAGTGGCTTCAGTGGCAGTGGCTATTCTTTATAGTTTTCACCCTTGCTATCACAGAGACATCACTGAACAGTTGGTGTCTGATCGGGGCTCGACCAGGTCCACTTTCTGTGGGGCCGCTTCTGGAAGAAAGAGTTCATCATAAAAAGTCCCTCTTTCTCCATGAAGTCGGGCAGCTGCTAGCCCGTTGGGTTCCGTTGCCATATCCCAAAATTTCCTACCTTCAGCTCACCGTTCTTTCTCGTGCGTTTTGCGTTGAAGTCTCCCATTAACATCGTATAGTGAGTTTTGGAGGAATGCATGGCTCTAGAAATATCGTCATACATTTCCTCCACCTCCTCATCGGGATGTTCCGATATTGGCGCGTCGCGTCGCAATTATAGCAAATAGAAAGCTTGATAAAATATTTTTGGAATCATACAAAAAAACATTACATTACATTAGTACATTTCACTTTACTTTGGTCGTCAGTTTCTCTAAAATAAGTCCAAGATCTCCTGCCACTCATTTTCATCATGTAATTATAAATTTTCACTAAGAATAACACAACGAAATACTTTCTTCTCACAATAATAGTCAAAACATAAGCATGTGCCGGCAATTTGCTCAGTACTAGATGATGTAATAACATGTTTGGTGTGGCGGGGGAGCGAGGGGCAGGGTCCGGCGCTAATCACACGCGCTTTACGGTAACAAGTTTCGACATAAATTGGTTAAGTACCGAGGTGATTCTGCCGAATAATGTTCGTCCTAATATTCGGTTCGGTAAAAATTTTACCGAACATTCGGCCGAATATTCGTATTCGGTAAAATCCATGTTCGGCCCATCACTAGTATCCATAACCTTTTAGAAAGAAATAAGAGGATTAAGCATGTGCCCTGCTGGTGAGACATACATAAGTGGATCAGACTCATTTAGGAAACAAATTTAAAAACACGCGAAATTTCTATGAAAGCACTTGACCGGAGACCATGCTTGCTTACATTTTGACATAATGTATGTTTTATGGTAGTGGGTCAAAAGTACTAATAGCACCATTTCATCATGTGTATGATGCAGATTCGAGTAAGGTATATTCTATAAAAGTCTATTCTTCTCATCCTCATCTAAGCTTCCGCTATTTAAGCTATATCTCTAACGCAGGGCGACCGAAATCCAGACTGACTGAACGTCAAAGCTGCAACAAACGACAACTGCAAATCAAAGTTTCGAGAAAACTAGTAAAGCTATCGTCAACCTGCCTGTCAAGCATGACCATAAAGGCAAATTTTCCCTACAATGTGAAAGGTTTGTGTTCAGGCCTGTTCAAATAAAAAGAAGAGCACTTCGTTTCCAATATATTACTTAGTTCATGCTATAGTAGCTCACCACACTATTTTATCCCATCAAAAGTTCACTGCTGAACATCTTCATATTTGTCATAGTTGCCACACTTGGCAAGTGGATTGGCAACCGCAGTTCATTATTTTCATTTTTATACAGATGTTATCAGAAAGATGCTGCTGCCTATCTCATGGTTCAGTTTCCTTCTGACATCTTTTACTACTTTTAGGATAGTCGCTATTCTTAACCTGCAATTACTCGGTTTACTAACTTAAAAGAAATAACATTTCCATCTTGGTGGGTCTTAATCATTAAATATCTTAATGAACTTGAACCAAGCATAATATTTTGATCAGTAAATGTCAGTGTCCTCTAAAAATTAAAATGATAACTGATTTGAATATTAAAGTATTAATTGGCATTTATATAAATTCATACACACAGTGGTATGAACACTGAGTGAAAGTAATTTTAAACAGCTATTTTTAAATGATGATGATGATATATTTTCAGTAAATTTTTGACCACAGTGTCAACTTCCAAATTATCGAATGCTATCAACAGGATAGTTAGTACAGTATCACAAGTGAATGCTCAAATACTGAAGCTCTCACTAAACTTATTCCAACCTACCTATGCCCAATATATTACTTAGTATATAAATTATGGTGCAATGACAGGTGACAATAATAACCAACAATTAGTGTTTTAGGACAAATTTTGGCTCCCACTGGGATTTAAATAACAAAATTAGTCCATTACATTTTATATGTTAATATTATAAATAGTAACACAAGAGGCATCTATCTCTATTATTATTTATATTAACACTTTTGTGCTAAATGTACTGAAAACTGGTTTTAAAAAGCAAGAAAAATTTTAACACCGTCTCATCCCATTCATAATGTACATTCACAAAATACCTACAACTCAAATACACAAAGAAGTGTCTATGGTGCAAGGACTCTTAGGCTGAAATATGCCATGATTGCTGTGACACACTCAATATAAGGCTAGTTATAATAATTATAGTATGGAAAGAAATTTTATTATGAAATCATTTATTTGTTGAATGTATTTTGTTGATTAACTGCAATGATTATGTTAATTGTTTACCACACAAATTAGGTAACTGTTATGATTACAGTTTATCATCCTTTGCTCAGTTTATAATCATTTGTAATCTAGAAATTGGTAGATAAACAGCAATTTCTACAAAAGTATTTATTTGATGGTTTGTAATACATTTATGTATCTTTCAAAAACATTATTACTCAATTTCATAAATATAAACATGTATTTTATCAAGTAAGAATATGAAATAATCAACTAAAATGCTAACACCATAACTTTATTCGTAATTACCTTACATTATAATTCCTTTATAGCTTCTATACTGGGATTAAGAAATAAAAAATGTTATGTAATTAGATTTTATATTGTTCATTAAACTACAAATAAATAGTTCAGATAACTTGAATTTATATTGAATAAAATTTAAATACTTTATGGTAATTATAGTTGTTTATGGAAGAGCATTATTAATGACATTAATTATAATTAAATAAAAAAGCAACTAAGAATTTTAATTCTTTGTTAAAGACAATCTACTAAAGAACACTATTGCTTACACTGCAAAATAGGGTTGACACTTATTTATTTTATTTATTACATCTTTTTAAAGTCCACATCTGAACATAGGCTTCCCTATATATTGCCTCAGAATACAGGGGATAGTTGCCATAATATCACAATTAACAAGTGGGTTGGCAACTGCAGTTTTTATTATCTAGTTGTTATTTAGAAGACAGTTTCTTGGTCTGTCTCACTCTGTCACTTCTTACAAGACCCATGGCATGATATGGGACAGTCAATATTCCTACACCGCCACTCCATGGCAAAGGATAAATGATTATTAACATTACATCACAACTATTATAAAATGATGAGTAGAAAGAACTGAACCATTATAACTTATGAGCAAGATATTCTACAGACTATCATAAAAAATATTTCGTAATTGCTTAGTTTTATTCATCTGACATATATACTTTAAAATACTCAAAAATGAATTTTATATAAAGATATAATATTCAGTTAAGTTTAATTTATTTCAAATATTATTATAAATAATCATTTAAAAAAATTAAACAAGGTCAAAGTTGGGGTTAATACAATAAATTTGGATAGAGTAAATATGTAACACAATTGAAAATCATAAAGTTAGAAATAAAAATAAAAACTGCATCAACATAATACTTGTGGCCGTAATCAAAACAAAACATGAAAGTATATATCGTGAGCAGATAATTACTATTAGACTTTAATAAACTTTTGCTCTTAATATTTTTATTTTACTTTACGTCCTATAATTAATATTTTTAAGATGTAAAAGTTCCGTAACTTAACTACTTTTACAGACATCATAGTGTACATGTTTCTTTCTACATAGGTCTTTTTTTTAAGTTTCCGAATTTAGAACTTTTACAAGTAGCTTCTAATCATTTACTTATTTGACTTACGGCATTTTAAATGATAAACCGTTACTTAACTCTACAATGTACAAAAAGTAACTTAACAAAATTTATACGAAATTAAAACGTCGAAATCGATACATAGCGATTAATAAAAACAACAAAAATTAGCGACAATTTGGGTGACGTTTGACAGCTGCTTTTAAAAATAAATACCTATATCTACCTATGCACGTGCCTAAGAAATTGCTCCAAAACGATAATCTTATATGAAAAAGTATGACATAAGCAAGTTAGTACACTACAAAGGTCAAATACTTACCCTGTTATTTGTCAAATCCCTAAATATCGATGCTAAACACAAACCGCGATTTATTTCTAATTTCGCCAAGAGTCGGCACCTAGAAACACACACCGTCGACGCCATCTTTACAACTAGCAACTACTTCTGTTCTATATCTATACATATTATGTACACCCGCCCAAAGACTACCGACTGCCACTGCTACAGCTACGTGCCACGACCTTTATTTATTTTATATTATATCTTTTCACATTTACATTTAGTGATAATTGACCCCACTGGCACCATAAAATGGTCACACAAAATTACGAAGAGATTACACTTTACCTACAGTAACTAATACCAATATAAGCATTGAAAAAATTATTTATGGCTTTACATTGATTATGAGTGGAAATGAATAACTGAGAAAAATGTTCTAAAATAAATCCTCTGAATTTCTGAAATTCACTTTTGTACACAACTTTAATTATTTCTGAAATAAATTATAAACATCATTGTAAATACTTTAAAATTTAAACTTTCCGCGCTTGCTATAATATTTTTTTCTTTAGTATTGGATTTGTACGGCCGCATTTAAGCCAACCTCTGTAAAAGGAAACTATGCTTTATGCATTGCAGGATAATATTAAAGCCAATATTTATGATAAAGTGATGACAACTGTACGTAAATAATATTTTCTGTAATATTAAACAAACGAACGAGATTTTTCATTTCAAGAGGAAAAAGCCTTAAATTGGAGCAAAATATAATGTCGTTAATTTTAGTAGTCATTATTTACATAGCTTAGCTAATAGTACTAACTAATAAGACCTTAGATCTTGGACAAATGATCGTACTAGTCTGTTCTTAGAGTAATTACTTGGATAGAGAGAATCCTAAAATAAAAACACAATTCTTGTAGTTGAATTTTTTATGCACATGACGTTTTTCGTGGTACAAAATAAGAAAGCTCTTTTATTCTCACGTTCTTTCTATTACAAGGTTATTGCCGTTTTTATATTTCATAGACACCACAATTGATGTAACATCAGCAAAACAAAAAACGTTTTCGATCAATTTATTTAGTTTATTACTTAGGAAAAATTAACGATTCTTCGACTTCGACGATTTCTTTTTTGTGGTTTTAGATTACTAAAGTGTGAGAAACAAAAAGAAAAGTGGCTGAATATACTTGGTGTAGAAAATATCAACACCAAAACTAAACACATTTTATTTGTTCGCTACATTTTGAAGAAAAATGTTTTAATCGAACTTTAAATGTTACAAGGCTGCGCGATGATGCTTTGCCTTCAAGCGAGCTGTTGCTAAGTGGTAAAATGCTTACGCAGTATGGCTGCAGGTTAAAAACAAGCAAAAAAAAATACTACAAACATATATTTGTATTTTTATAGTTACGAGCTCAATTTGAAGACTGTAGGGAACAAGAATCTGTTTCTCGCAAGGGGTTGATAGAGAAACCTATCTACAGCATTTCTAACTATGCAGAGGTAAATTATACTCATTTCCTAAGAGGGTGCGGTGCTGTGGGTAACTAAAAAAATCTTGACAACATTTTAATAAAAACTTACAAAATGTTTATTAATATTTTTATTTGTCCTTTACAGTTATCAGCCCAATTAACAAAAATCCGTCTCTCACATATTACGAGAAGAGACGCCTGTCTGCAGCATTTCTAGCTATGTAAATGTTAGTATGATATTTCATAATTTATATTACTTTCTAGGTATAGAATCTGGACTTTTAAATACAAATTCACTTAATATTAAAATATGTTATTGTTTATTTTTCTTTAACAGTTACCAGCCCCATGTTACAGGACTGAGAAGCAACAAACTGTTCCTCGCGAAGTATTTGGAGAGAAACCTGTCTGCAGCACTTCTAACTTTATTGAGGTGTGTTATTTTCACATGTTTTTATAATATATAATCCTAAAGAATTTTAACCAACCACATAAAATGTTAGGTAGATGACCTGCTTCTTGTAAAATATTCATCATGAATTGGATCGATAGCCTATTTTTCTTTTTATTGAAACTTACAAAATTCACAGAAAAATACTTAGGACACTTTCTTTGGTTTTGTAAATGTATTTTTTTGTTTCAGGATCAACAGCTTAAAATAATCCAAAAACTTAAGACGAAATGTGAAGATCAAAGGAAAAAAAATTAAAAGACTAAATGAAAAAGTGAGGTGACAAAGTAAGAAAATAGCTGATTTTAAAATTTTTAATGAAGGATATAAAGAACAAAAATTATGTAAAAGATGATCATGCGACTGTGTTGGAGCAGTGCGCAGGCCCTAAAGATTTTTTAAGAGACAAATTTCTAAATCGGTAGGATTGCCTATGAAAAGGCGAAGATTTTCGTAAATTCGCATTGACGCTTCACTTTCTGTCTCCAAAGGCCTACGATTTTGTTCGTCGTACCTACAATACGTGGTTGCCACTGTTTATTAATAATAAATAGTTACATTATAAAAGCAAAACAAAATGACTACTTAAAAGTAATGAACTGAAAACATAGGTATAACTTATATATATTTCAGTAATGTCCTTTTAATTTCCTTTATTTTGATATCCATATCGATAGGTTGAGTAAAAAAAATTAAAGTCTTACAATTTGTCATCCGTCATATCGATTTTAAAAAAAACCTATCTAAGAACACTCGGGTGTTTGAGACGAATCACACGAAAGGATCTTTTTTCAAATAAGCACCACATTATCGATATTAAGTATAGTGTGCAACACTACGTCAAGCCGCCATCTTTGTGCCAGACTCAATTTAGGAATACACGCTTTTTTCGTAGGTATGTCATGTCCTTTCTTTTTTCTCTAGTCAAAGAAGTGGTTTAGCATCTGATCGGAAAATAGACTGAAAATGACTTTTATTGACTGAACTTAGTGCTCGCAGCGCCTCACTTAAGGTGTCCATATTTCTGGGACACTATTTTCTACGGCGATCGTTCTCCTGTTCTCTAACCTTCATGATCTAGCCCTAGGTCAAAAATGAGTTCTACTATTGAGCGAGTTGCCCAGGTTTAGGCTGTTAGCACGCACTTTGAGGAAGTTCAGGTTATACACACCCGGAGAAACAGAAACCGGCAAATTTTAATATATATTTGTATTATAGTTTATTGACTGCAGAAATACTAGCGCACAAACGACCGTTTTCCATATTAGAAAATAAAGTAGTCACGCCACTGGAAGCATCAATATACTGCAGGTAACTTTTAAATAAATTAATAAGAATAATTTCCTATAACTTGATGTGGGTTAAAATACAACCGTATAAGTCTATGATTTTATAATATCAAAGTTTTAAAAACAATGTGTATAGCTGCTAAATTTCAACATGACCAGTGTGACCATATGCCATATTCCTGCCATTTTGGCAGGATTAGCCACTTATTGGTCTTTGGCATGATAGGTTGACGTTTTGTAAAACTTGGCAGTATTTGGCAGTATTGAAGCATTAAAAATAGATTTCATTATAGCAACTAAAAATGCCTAAAATGGCAGAATAATTCGCCAGCATGTCAGGGTTTTCCATGTACTTCTCGTATTATGTTTGTATACATTCAATAAAAAAACTTTAAAAGTTTGTATGTAAAGTTGGCAATCTTAAAATAAGTAATTATAAACACGAGTTTATGGTTAATATTTTAATCAGTCGTAGAAGCGACACTTAAAATACACTCACCGGCACGGAAACTTGGCCAAGCGGTTATCTCGCGATAGCAAAAGCTTTAAGTGTTTCTGATGAATGTTTGTTATGCAAGTATGTCAAAAAATGTTTACCCTCAAGTTCAAGAGGGTAATTCATTATGTTTAAGTGCACCATGACGAATTCTTTAATTTTTAGTTGAATCGGGTCATTTGAGCGACTAAGTTCACATTTTAAATTTGTGTGTTGTGAAAAGTTTACTGTAAGGTTATTCAATTATTGTGATCTTGTGTCTTAATTAAATAACTAAAGGTGCTTTAAAGCCAATAAAAATGCCATTAACACCAGCACAAGTTGCACAAGCAGTAGCATTAATTGACCAAGGGCTGACACAGCGTGAAGTTGCTATTGTGCTTAACGTACCACGGTCCTTAATACAGTATTCACTGAAACGATACCAGGAGACAGGCCGCTACACCCGCAGGCCAGGCAGTGGGGGCGTAAGGTGCACATCGGCCCGGGACGATCGTTTTATTGTTATGGAGATTTTGAGAAACCGCTACCTGACCGCTGTTGAGATACGCCAGCGGCTCCAAATCGCAAGAGGCGTTAATGTTAGTGAGCGTACGGTGAGAAGACGAATGGAGGAAGTGAATTTAAAAGCTTGTAGACCAGCACGAGGTCCAGAACTTCTCAGACAGCACCGAGTAGCCCGACTTCAGTTCGCAAGAGAACATGTCAATTGGACCCACGAGCAATGGGCTAGAGTGTTGTTCACAGATGAGTATCGAATAGCTTTACGTGCTCCAGACGGTCGAGAACGAGTGTGGAGAAAAAGAGAAGAGAGGTTTCTACCCATTACCACCACCCAAACTGTGAGTTTCCATGGAGGCTCAATAATGGTATGGGGAGGTGTAAGTTCCGACGCACGTACAGAGTTGGTCATCGTCGATAATCGGCTTACAGCTACTCGATACATCGAGGACGTTCTTCAGGAGCACGTAATGCCTTATTCGGGATTCATTGGACACGACCAATTCCTCCTCATGCACGATAATGCACGCCCGCACGTTGCACATTATGTAGAGGAATATCTGGAAGAGGTTGGAATACAAAAATTACAGTGGCCAGCTCGTAGCCCGGACTTAAATCCAATTGAGCATGTATGGGGTATGCTCAAAAGAAAGATAAAGTCCAGCTCCAAACCGCCACAAACTCTAAATGAGCTCCGAAATGCAGCGCTGGCCGCTTGGGACAGCATACCGCAAGTTGATGTCAGAAACATCATTCAAAGCATGCCAGATCGAATGCAAGCGGTTATCAGGGCTAGAGGAGGAAACACCCGATATTAAAACTGATAGACAATAAAGAAACAGACTTAATTTTTAACTTTGTAGTGTTTTAAAGTGACAATGGAAAGATGTTAATTTTAGTGAAAACTTATTTTATCTTAAAAA